CGGTTCGTCCATGCAACGCTCTGACGCTTCGATCAGGTTGTCCACGTGTTCACGAGGAGTGCTGCTGCAGAGCTGCTCCACAAAGCTGTCATGGATCTCAGACCAGACCTCACCGCCTTTTGTCTTAGAGTAGGCGATCCACCAGGCGTTCAGGGTAGTGGGAGGCTTGTCGGCCGTGAGCTTCAGACCGAGAAGGGACTTGCGTTAGTCGTTCGGTCTGACCACCACGGTCAGCTTGTCTTTCCACAAGTTGCTTCATAAAGTACGCGCAGTGATCATGAGCGTCCGACGACGGGATGGCAGCGTATTTCACAGCGCGACCGAATGCTTGGTTGCTCGAGGAGGTGTCGATAGCCTTCTTGACATCAGCCATTTCACTGGACATTTTGGTCAAGAGGGTGGTGAGCTCGGAAGGTAGCTGAAAAGGGTAGCCCGAGGATGGTTCGGGTGCTGGTATCGAAGCTTGGGCTAGACGGGACGAGAAGTCTAGACTGAGCTGATCAATGCGTACTTCGAGAAGTAGCACGCGGTCTTGCAGAAGGGTCTTGTCGTGGACGAGAGACGCGACGCGTTCGTGTAAGAGTTGGTTTTCCTGGCGAAGCGCTTCGAGACAGGGACGAGTGTCGTCTGAAAGGGCAGGTGGTGCAGGAAGTTGTTCGTGGAGGAGACGCCGAGAACTTGGACGTCAGACGAGTGGCGTTCAAATTCGCGGGAGACACGGTCTTCGTACGAGTGCAGAGCGGTCTGCAGTAGAGCGGTGGCCGAGGCTTGACTTTGCACCGAAGAATGCAATTCAGAAATGGCCTGAGCATTGGCGGAGATTGCCGTTGGATCTGAAACTGCCAACGCCGAAGTTCGAAGGAGATTCACTGAAGCGTACAATGCTTGAAGTTCAACTTGGATCGACGAAACGTCTTGAGTCAAAGTCTTGTTACGCTCTGTCACTGTATCAACATCGTTGCCGAGGTGGACAGGTTCGTCGGTAGCAGCTAACTGCCAGGCACGGGTAGACGAAAGGGTTTCGTCCACTCTGTGCGAAAGGTCCGTAGTCGCAGCTTGGTGTTCGAGGGACCAGGCTCGTAAGGTTAGGACTTGTGCTGAAACGTGGTCTGAAAATCTTTGGAGTGAGATTCGCAGTTCTACATTTGCTAGATCCGTACTGGACGGAGAATTAGCGACCACATCCGACTCGGTCGTAGGTTGCATGATCGAGGTGTCGTCCGTTTCCATTTCACCAAAGTCGTCGAGAATCGATCGGATGGGAGGTGGTCCGTCAAGCGTCAAAATTGGCGGCATCGTCAACGACGGCCTTTCATCAGTCGCGTCGATCTCCATAGTTTCGTCGTGGTGAACGACAGGAACCAGACCAAACGGTAGGTTCGGTTCAAATACCGTCAAGTGCTGATGACGCTCCACGATAGGTTGATGAATGGGCACCCTGCCGAATCGCAGACTGGGCTCGATATGGTCCGTGATGGCCTCCACACCCATGGATTCGTCTGGACTGGCAGACAATACGTGGTTGTCCATCAGTTGGGGGGGAGTTTCGTTCGATCTCGGATCCACGTGAGCAAGTGGGGACAATCCAAATGGTAAGGCAGGATTGTAGACGGCAGTCTCGTGAATGAAGTCGGAAGCCGGCAGGGCCAGACGAGTCGGCGACGAATAGTCAAAGCGCGATCTCGTCTGGTCCAATACTAAACTGGTTTCGTAGTTTTTGGGAGAAGCTCGTCTCGCCACAGTGATATGGACTTCAGCGTTAACCTGGACGGTGCGAGTTGTCACCACATGCGTAGATTCCATCGAGGCTGGTACACCATGGGCGTGGGTGGACACTTGAGCCAAGTGATGAATTGCTTCGGTCGCAGATTGCACGTCAGAGGTCAGTAGCGATAACGTCCCAGGCGTAGGACTTGACGAATAATACGAGTCGTTCCAGTCCAAGCGCGCAATCGGACTTGTAGAGGTCGGCGGGACAACAGACTGTGTCAGCGTATCGTCGTCGTTGCCCTCGGTCAACATGGACTCGTCTGACTTGTTTTCGTCGGAGCTAGCTTCAGCCATTTCGTCTGTGTATAGAGACGAAATGGCTGAACATCGGGGCTCCATGTATAGATCACTCTCGTCGTCGAGGAGAGAAACCAGTTCACGACGAGCGGTAGTTGAGGTAGTATCGGCGGCCTCGTCCGAGTCTTCGGTCGCTTTGCTTCGTTTCGCCAAGTCTCGTTGCTCGGGTGAGTTGGAGTGGTGTTGGATTCGGTAGTTGTTGTCTCGCTTCAACCGTTTCTGGACAGGGGTGGACAGGTTCAGGCTGACTTTTAAACTCTTCATCAGAGCTGCTGCTAAGGAGGACTTCGTCGTCAGTCACGCTCACGAGGTTAAGTCTCGCATCGGTCAGGGCTGGGACGGCTGAGGCGACATCCGTGTCGTCTGCGATTGCTTGGACGGGAGGTGGATCGAGAGGTCTTTGCTCACCCAGGAGTGCTGGATTCTTGGTTTGGCAGGAGAGTTACCCTGCGTCTCCACCATTTTTATGACGGTCGTAGGGGTTAGACGCACAAAACTTTCGAAGGTCTGGAGGTTCGGACTTCAGGACCGGATACTCTCGGCTTGGCCAAGAAGAACACAGCAAGAAAGGAGTAGATCCAATGTTAGGCAAATGTGAAAGTGAACTATCTAAAAACTAGCTAAGGCTGACGACCTTTGGGGAAAGGTCCTGTAGAATAAAAGGCAACACGATCGAATTCGAAGGTAGTCGGCCAGTCGAATAATATACCTTTGCGATGGTAATGCCACGATGTGACATAGTAGCCAAAGCTCATGCTCCAGCTCCGTCACAGTGTATGTGTGCTTACTGAGGTTCAAGGTGATGGAGGTTCATTCCCATCGGGGGTGATATGGGGAAGGTCGGGTTCCACGAGGATGTGCTGGACCGAGAAGGCTTGAAAGACGGTTTCGCGCACAGTTTTCTCACCATTCAGAGCGAGTTGAAGTGAACATGCGAAATATATTGGTCTCGTCACGAAATTAATTGGACGTTTGCGAATCTAACTGAGCAAATCACGAAATCTACTGGCAGTCCACGAAATATAATGAGTGAATTCAAACATTCCCACGAAACTAAATGCCGAGGGCACGAAAATAAAATGAATTTCCTCGAATCTTAATGGATTCCACGAAATATACCAGATATTTTTCTCGAAATTAACCACAACACGGTGTAGTAGTACTAACGTTTATACGCAATATATTGTCGTCGCGTTATGAAAACATCTCTATAAGAGTACACTGCAATTTTTCAGCCATTGAAAGTGCTTGATAAGTACCTATTACTACACCCCACTACGATACATATAGAGTGTACCTGTGAAAATTGATTGTTCATCTTTTCGCTGATTGGCTAGATCTTTCGTTATATTATCGATGTGGATTATTTATAGCCAATCAAATGTCGCAACTTTGTAGTGTGTTCCGAAATTTGAAGGATGAATGAATTCACGTTGTAGGAACTATATTTCTAAAATGAACGAGGGAATTTAAGGCGAAGTTTAAACGTTAAAAACTGTTTATTTATCCAGTAATAATCCATCACAAAAAAATATTTCTCGTTTATTGGTCATAATTAAATATCGCACAATATCAATATTTAAAGCCCGCGCAGAAGTGGCATGACTTGTGTCACCTCATCACTTTCAGAAAGTCGATGCAAAGTGCATGTTTGTGAACCATGGAGACTACTACACCAGATAAGTCGAACGGAAACCATCGGCACACATACTCCATCTCTCTCAAGCTCCAAGAACTGCACTGCTGCAGCGGATGTATCGTATCGACAGGTGGTCATGGAGCTGTCGGTCCCCTACACGACTGTCCGAAACAGGAGTCAACAGTACGAGCAGCTCCAAGCATACAGTGGAAACAAAAAGTCAACGAATCTACCTGGTGCGGGCCACTCAACGATCATACCGCAGGCCGAAGGTCTCTTGTCGTTCATGTACTATCGCCGTCATCAACAGCGCGCGTTGATATGCAGCCACATGGTTAAAAAATTGAAACACAACCATCAAACATGGCTGCGCGAATACATAGATCATCGCCCGAAGGCAGAGTGTAGATACGCCAACGTGTTGAAACTCCTGCAAGAGTTTTGCGGTTGCCATGGCTACACGCATGAGCAAGCTTGCATCGCGAAAAGGGTCATCACTGACCTTGAGAGAGCACGGACTGAATTTGCGGCACGCTTTCACAACGAATTTGGCGACACCCAAGACGCCATGATTGGATGTAAAGAGTACTCCCACCAAACGCAACCTCCCACTGCCAACCCCTGGATGTGATGATCATGTACCTTTCAAGCGGCACATGAGAGATCTGTGGATAGCGGAAGATATCGACAGCTCATTGGACAACGAGGAGGACTGGATATCGCCTACTGCCCATAAGAAGTGTATCACAATGATCAACCGAGCAATAAAAGCATGGGAGAAGATCATCCCATAATAGGTTCGTGGTAGTTTCTTGAAAGCAATTCCAAAGCCATAATTCCATGTCGACGCCGCATTCATGTTTTGCCTAAAATCGATCGAGTTCATCAAGATGGACATTTTGCAAGTTATTCGAACGAAAACGGAATAGAAATGAAAACGTTATGGGTGACATCATGTTGGGGACTCTATACAGCCTTGCGTTTTGCAAATTAATATTACTCTGGTCCAAAATAGTTGTTAGGTACTACTCTGGTCCACAATTATTCCAACATTTACTTTCCATTGGCGGAATAAGGCCAAAAATGATCGTATGATCGATCTGATAAGCTTATCGAATAGAGCAAACCAATAGCTTTGATTGGACTATTTTAGTGCTTTCCCGAGTACTTTTGCTCGAGAATTATGTGGCGCCAAAGTTTGAAGTATTCACGACTAGTGTAATATGATATGCTAAGAGCTTATTTCAAAAACAACACCATCGTCACAACCACAGGCTCACCTCGCCACTTTCCAATGCCCTCCCCTCACGCCGAGTCTCGAACGCAACCCAGCGGATCTGAAAAGTCCCGAAACCTGTCCGACGACGACCGCCAGGCGGTGCTCAACATGTTGCTCTCAAAGAGCGATGATGACAAGCGAAAGCATGGGTTAGTTAACAATGTTGCTACTGCCATCGTTCAACTGTCTCAACGATCTGGAACAGCTATAAAGCTGCATGCGCGTCGACCCACATCGGATCATCGCCGACGCTCCCAAAATCGCGCATGAAAGGTATTAGATTATAGAGAATGCATTTGTCAGAGGTACTATTTTTCACATTTTATACTGGTTTTAGGAAACTGTGGTGCGAAATTGAAGTGGACTTCCTAGCGATTGAAGCTGTAATCAAAGCAGTTCCATTCCACAAACGTCAGACCACTCGTGTAATGACGTTCCATGCCAACATTCCCCGAACGACGATCCTTCGATACATGAAGCGAAACCGTCGCCTTCGGTGCAAGTCATCGTACCTCCGACCGCTGCTCACCAACGCCAGCAAGGAAGAACGCGTCAAGTTTGCGCTGTCTTGTTCATAACGAAGGTTATGATTCTGTGTGCGGTGGCCCGGCCACGTTTTGATATTGGGCGCAACCGCATGTTCGACGGGCGCATTGGCATGTGGCCCTTTGTGGCCAAGGAGCCTGTGCAACGAAGCAGCAAGAATTGCCCAAGAAGAACGTTGGTCACGCAGTCGCAGACCGTGACCTCTGAAGTGTACCTGCGCATGTTGACAACCAAGGTCATTTCAGCAATTCAAATCAAGATGCCACTTGCCATGAAGAGGTCGACAGTGTTTATTCAACAAGACAGTGCGGGACCCCATGCGCAATCGGTGAAGAACTCCATTGAAATGCGCATCGACGGCGATGGGTTGACAATCAAAATGCGGAACCAGCCGCCCAACAGTCCGGACTTTAATGTCCTAGATTTTGGAAATTTTAATTCTATTCAAAGTTTACAGTATCAATCAACGCGATCGAATATCGATGAATTGATTGATGCAGTTGATGCTGCGTTTTGCGAGTTGCCCCACGAGGTTTTGACTAAAACTTTTCTTAAGCTTCAGAACGTAATGAAGTTGTCGATACAACATCGGGGTAGCAATCAATACAAGTTACCTCACATTGGCAAAGATAAGCTTCGAGTCGATTTGACACGTTTGAACGTATCGTGCGTGTGACGATGACTTGTCATGGAAGCATTGATGATGTTGATTGCGCGTCTCAATGATGAGGAACACTTGGACGATCTTGTGAATTCCCAGGATCAAGCGAGCATCATCTTGTAGTATAAATTATCCCAAGTCAATACAAATTCCAAGTGTCCTTAAGTTTCCCCGTTTGAATACAATGGTCAATACTTAAAAATGTTGGAATCAATGTGGACAAAATCAAAACGCCAAATCTCGGAATAATTGTGGACCAGAGTACAGTACTGTAGTAGTTTTTTCCGATTTGCGATACGATTGGTGGATAAAAAAACGCAAGATCTCTGCTTTACAGTTAATTGGGTAGTTTGCGAGCTTCCTAGAGCAGTTGAATGTCGAGATATTGGGAATTCACTTGTGAGATCCTTGACCATGTTGCTCCCCACTCAGGGTATCCCCACTGGTAAGACTGTATAATCAGACTGTAAAATGCCGAATCACAGTTTCTGTATCAACCCCAGCGGTAAAACGGTCAAAAATCCGCATAATTATCATCTCCGGAGATGAACCCGGAGGCATTAGTTTGCTTTGGACGACGGTGATGATGTGGATTTCACTCGTGAGATCCTTGACCACCTTCCCGCCCTAAAA